ATGTTTGATCAATTTCAGATTGAAGAAGTTGGTAGAATTGTTCTATTTCATCCTCACTGGCTTTAGTGGTTGGTGCATAAATCTGAATAATAATGGTATTGACTGGTCTTCCCTGTAGGCACATGGATAGTATCCTATCACAGACAGTGTTGTACCTTATGCCTGATCTGAATATGTTCTTTTTGACAATGAATGCAAAACCATTCCTTTTCAATTTATCATTCCCAGCAAAGTAAACCATGGGGTTGTCAGATTCAAAATGGCCAATACCAGTCCTTTGCAGCTCACTCATACCTAAGATATTGACATTCATGCGTTCCATTTCATTTTTGACAATTTCCAATTTTCCTAGAGATTCATAATTCGCACAATCCATATTCTCATTATTAATGGATGTTTACAACTGTTTCTCTTCCTTTTGAGTTGTGCCCCATCAGCAAATTAAGGTCCCGTGGGATTTACTCCCATGGGCTTTACTCCATTCACGTCATCATGGTCAACTTTACTTTCAGGAGGCAGCTCTTCCCCAGTCACATTTTGAGTGACTTCCAACCTGAGGGGGCCATTTTACAGCACTATATCTGACAGTGTTTTCAGCTATCCATAAGGTTTTCAGTGACTAAATATCCATAAGTAGTTCGTCATTCCTTCTTCCTTTTCTGTCTTCGTCTGGAAGCTCATCTGAAACCTGTCCACCATGGGTGACCCTGCTGGTATTTAAAATACCCGTGGCATAGCTTCCATAATCACAGCAATTCACAAGCCACCACAGTATGACAAAATCACAGACAAGTGGTGGTCGATTAATATTATAGATTAATATTGTTGTTGCTGTTAAGTACCTAAGTACTGTGGAGTTGGTTCTGATTCATAGCAACCCTGCACAGGGTTTCCAAGGCTGTAAATCTTTACAGGTGCAGAAAGCCTCATCTTTCTCCCATGGAACTGCTGATCTTGCAGCTAGCAGCCCAACTCACAACCACTACACTATCAGAGCTCCTTTTATTAATCTTATATTTGGTTTTATTTTTTTTTCTAGGATGGTGTAGGAGTAGATGAGAAGCTGTCTTTAAGGAGAGTAGCTGTGGTTGAAGATTTCTTTGACATTATCTATTCAATGCATGTGGAAACAGGACCAAATGGAGAACAAATTAGAAAACATGCTGGACAAAAGAGAACTTACAAAGCAGTAAGTAAAGACACACATTTTGTAATTTGGTATTATGTATGCTTGTTAAATTAGGTTATTGAAGAATTATATAGTCTATCTCCTATCTTCGACACAAATTAGACCAAATCATGGTCATATCCAACATTTTAGCTATAATTATTACTGACTCTAGTTTGAATAAATGTTCACTGAGTATATTGTGCTCTATTTAAACTTCTAGCATTCTCTAATTATTCTATTTAAATATATAAAACGTTTGATAGTTTCAACCAAGTACCCACAAATAGGGATATATGTTTGTGTTATATACCCAATGTATATGTAAATGAATTATGGACTAGAACATATAAACTTTGGTACTATTTTCTTAGCATTCCTATTCAGTTGAGTCATATTAATATGTTTGAGTATTTTGTATTTAATGTTTATAATCAAATGGATAAGGGCATCTTATGTACTTTTCATATGTCTTCTTATATATTAATTATGTTTGTTCTGAAATTGTGCATTTGTTAATTTTCCAGAATGCACTATAAAAGCTTTTGTGTTATTTTCATAGCTAAATTAGAAAAACAGAGAAATATATTTTTATCACAAATTATGTAAATGGAAGATTGAATGAACTGTTGGTGAAATATTTATACTGTCAGGAT